GAAATACAAGTTGATTTCATGGGAGCATGTAATTCACGGATATCACATAATCATGTAAATTGGAAATCGAGTAAACAGATAATCAAGTAATCAGGTAGTCATGTGATTTGATAAACGGTTCACGGTTAATGGTTAACGGTTAACGGTTGAGTAATCTCAGTTAATTGACAAGTATTTGTTATATAATAGGCCACTATTGACCATTAACCCATTTTACCATGTGAGAGTCGAGGAGATTCACTCCAACGACGTATGCAACCATAGCATACCAAGTCATGTTATTCGAGCATTTCCAAGCATGAGTTATTCATCTCAAAAGAGAACGAGTGCGATGAAGTACACACTCGACTCCATTTTTTTCAAAACCGAGTAGGCTAAGCGAGCAATCTAGCAAGTTAAGCGTGTATCGAGTTCATATGGTCATTTGATATGGTTAACCATTTAACCAATTCATGTAGATATGCAATGCAAGTATACATTCCTTAAATAGGCATGAGTATGGTAAATACTTAACACTTAATAATCATGAAATAAGCATGTCCTAGACTTATTCAATTACGTATTCCTATATGGAACACTCACCTAATTCAAAGCAAGCAAGTGAGTTCTTCAGCAACCGTTTAGGCGTCTGCTTTGAGTTCCTCTCGAAGATCCCCTCGGGCGCCTGAGCAAACAATAATCAACTACCACTCAATATCACTCTAATTATCGAGGAAGATTGTACTAGTGCGTACTCTAAGGAGAATTCATAAATTGAACCTTAATTATTCATAATCGAGGCTCAGGAGTGGTGTTCAAAAACGGAAGAAAAAGGTTGAGTTTCACCCTTAAAATCATTGGATGGAAGCTAGTAGGTATGAAATCATGTAAATAAATTTTCAGACGAACAATCGAAGTCGGACGTGGAAGTGCCACGTCACAATCCGGCCGGATTTCTGGCCGGATTCAAGGCAAAGAAGAAACCCAATTTTTTTCAAAACTCACCAACAATCCGGCCAACTATCCGGCCAAGAATTGGCCAGATTCTGTGGAATGGTTTTCCCGCGCGGATTCTTTTAAAAAGGCCAAAATTTGTCAAGTTTAGGGTATTCTTTCCAAAATCATAACTCACTCCCTGAATGTCCAAAATTGGAAAACTTGGTACCGTTGGAAACCTCTTTGAAAGTAATAAAAGTTCTTAGAAGACATTTTTCCATGAATGTAAGTGGATAATAATCAAAAATTGACTCAAAGTTACTGCTGTAGAATACTAAGACAGTTTCAAGGTTGATTTTTGGGCAACTTTGGAAATCCGGTAAAATTGACTTGTTTTGAACTAACCTTTGAAATTTGGAAATCAATTGGTGTTGCAATCCAAGAGTATAACAAAACAAGCAGAACGAGAAATGGTGTTTCGAGCACCAAGATATGGTGACCCAAAGTTACCAAAATTTCCTTGTTAAACAAGGGTTTTCAAACTTAAATCATGAACTTTGGAAGTTTGATTGAACATCAAAACGACCTCAGAATAGCATCAAATTTGGTATGTACATACAACCATATAAGGGTTATTCCTCTACCAACTTTCATAGAAAAATATGCACGGGAAGTCGGTTAATGAAACCACAAGAAATTCTAAGGCTAAATTGCCTTTGAACTTCCGTTTTGCCGTTTTTCAAACGTTTGGCCAGGGAACATTTCAAACATGGTCCATTCTAGTAAGAAATGTCTAAAATATGTCCAAGGTGCATTTGATAGGTGATTTATACCAAGAACTTCGGAAAACAAGTCCCAAATCATTGTTAGTCACAAATCTGTCCAAGTGGAAAATTTCTATCACTGTAGCAGTTTCAAACTTTGGCCACAACTCACTCAATTCAACTTGGAATTGGGTGTGGTTGATGGCGTTGGAAAGCTCTCTCATAAAGCGGAATTTTCTCAGAAGAAACTATTTTCAAATTCTATCCACAAATAGCTCGGTTTTTAGCATCAAGAAGTAATTTCTGTCCTGTCTCCTGGAGAGCAACGAAACAGGGCAGTGATTTTCAAACGAATGGTGTGGCTCACTCGAGTGGAACTTGGTCCTATATTTTATACCAATGGAAAGCTGGGAATGTATAGTTTCCAGTGCCACAAACGGCACTTGATTTCGACATCAGAGCAAAGAGTTATGGCCGATACTAAATGACTGCCTGGGCAATACGGGATTCATTTTCCAGTTTGGCTAACTTTGGAAATCAACATCATTTGACCAACCAAATCATGTTATTTTTCAATGAAACTTTCTACACAACTCATATAACATGTATACATCATAAACAAGTCATTAGAACCTCAAAAATTTGCACTAAAGTGCACGAAATTAATTAGGGCAGAATTGGAATATTTTTGCTTTTCACCTCCTTTGAGTTTCCTTTCATCAATATAACTTACACTAAAAATACAAGAAAACGCTAATATATAAGGACACTTTTTTGTAAGTGTCATTTTACATGTTTTATGAAGACAAAAAAAAGTGAGTCATAATAAAATAACATGAACCAAATACCATTGCACTTTGTTTTATATTTTTCTAAATTGAAAAATTTGAGATGTCAAATTAGAATAGCTATTAGGGCATTACTTGTGAATGTCAGCAGAAGTAATAGGAAATTGAGATAGAAACGACGTAGTTTTGTCACTGGTATAAATGAAATGGAGAGAAAGCGCGGGGGAAAAGAAAAAAAAAACGCGGCAAGGAAAATTTTGCCGCTTCACTAAAGTACATTTCTCTTTGAAAGGTCTCCGCCTCTTACAATTCACACCAAAAAGTTCCCTCAGTTTCTTCTCCAAATCTAAACCCTTGGACCCTATTCACAAAATCCATCATCGTCAAAATCAACCTTCCATTTCTGCCTCTTTTTTTCATTCTTTAATCCCTACCCTCTCTCTTTCTATCTTGAGTTTTTAGATGCACTCCAATTTGACCAGAAGAAGAGAAGGATGGTTTAGCGGTTAAAAGGTAAGTGTATTATGGGTTTTTGAAAATCATATGCTTTGCCTGCCCACTGAATTATTTTCTCCCCTGTTGCTAGTTTGATTTTTTTTTCTTTTTTTAAAATCTGATTTCTATGTTGAGTATTAATAATGTGATGGAGAAAAACATGGGGCAATATTAAAAGCAGTTGGCTGGTTGATTGATTGCTGGTTTTTTTTTGCTGGTATCTAATGTAATGCCATATGGAATGTGTCCGCCTCCTTGTTTCGGCCTTGGGGCCATCGACAGTACCAATTCAGGACTCAGGAGGCAGTCCCATTCTCCCACCGCGGCCGATTGTTAATATTAAGCAAGACAAACCCATCAAACCCTGCCGTGTGATCTGGTATTTGGCGACTAAGCCCGATCGATCAATTGAGGCTTCCTTTTGCAATCCTGTTGAATTTCTAAGCACCTTTTGCATTTACTTTAGCCTACTGATTCCACAAAGTACTTTGGCAGTCAGGTAATAATACGCTGATACAAAGTATAATAAAGTGTATAAAAATAGTGGTAGAGTTTTTTTTTAAATTCAAGTACAAAAGTGGAAGGGAAAAGGGGAAAAATGGATGTCTGAGAATTGAATCAGGACATTATGATTATGTAGTTAATGCTTCTCTCAACCGAGTTGGAACTTGGGAATTGGTTTCTATTCCTACGTTAGTGCAACTGGCTGGCACAAAATATAGGATATAGAATCCCAGGTGCTTTACTTCTACTGACTAGTAACTACTAAGAATGTCAAAGATGGTGTACTGTTCATGTCATTTGGTTTCGGAAAAACATGTAAAATTTGGCAAAGTCAGAACTAGTGAATTGGGAAGAAGTTAACTGTTAGCAATTGTTTGAGTTGTAGTTGAGTTTCCAAACTTGATTCATATTATGGTAATATGGCAATTAAGTTTACCAGAAAAATAATTGGCACCAATACAGAGGTTTCTAAATTTTAACTTGTAAAGCGAAGTTGGTCCCTCAAACATGAACATAAAATCTTTTTATTTCTTGAGTTTAATAAAATTCCTGCTATCCCAATGCTTTTTATGAAAATGTTATTCAATGAGAATAATTTGCATTTGTGGTTTTCTGTTCACATGGGGAAAATGTGCATGCCTTGGATCATTTTCATGCATATGTTGGTGCATTTATATATGTACATAGAGAAAGTAAGCTGATGCCTTGTTCTGTTTGCTTCATAATAATGTGCATGCCTTGTTCTGTTTGCATAGTAAGCTGATGCATTTATATATGTTGGTGCATTTATATTTTCATGCCCTGTTCTGTTTGTTTCAGAATAATTAGGAAAAGTCATTCAGCACTTTTGGTTCTTTCTCATTTTTTTAAAATATTCTTCAAGAAATTTGCAAGCTGATGTTATTTTTCTTCTTGAATAATTAGAGAAGTACGTATAGCACCTATTCAAAATATTAAAATTTTACTAAAGTTCATTAATGTTTCACCACAGGTTTGAATTGAAGATAGCTATCTGTGAAAAGAAATCATTTTGAAGACGTTGCACATTGATTTCGCTAGAGGTACAAGCCAACTTATATTCTTGTGTTCTTTTTTATTAGGAATTAGATTAAGTTACATATATGATATTAAATTTGTTCATTTGTTTGAACCTGTAATGTACGTTCATTTTCATCTTTTGGTCATTTGGATTCTTAATTTTTTTTTAAACTGGAGTGTCATTGCAGTAGATATATTATATGACCTGCAAATTTTATTCTTAACATTGATTTGTGTAAAAAACTATTTACTTGGTGACACGTGATAAATGGCTAGTAGCGGAAAACCTTTGGGGTTCTCATGTCTTGTGCTTTTATCTCAAACAGTGACCTTCTCGTTGACTTCCAAATAGCTTCTTGGTATCCTAATAATTTTTTGTTGTATGAGTGATGCACTTTGTTAATATTATTCTTAATTGCTTTCTTTTGCTTATATATGTATATGTATATGTATGTATGTGTATATTTTAAGGTTAAATTTGTCATGGTTACAGAATATGGATAAAACTTGGATGCAAAAGAATAGACGAAGCAAAGAATATTGGGATGGTTTGCAAAAATTCTTAGATTATGCATTCCAGAATTCAAGTATAAATGGGATGATATTATGTCCATGTAAAGAATGTAAGTGTGGTGTATGTATTACCAGGGAGAATGCAGAACTTCATTTGAAAGTTTATGGTTTTGTTAAAGGATACACCCATTGGGCAGCTCATGGAGAATTTGTTTACTCTAGTGCACCAAAACCTACTTCCTATGATATCTCACATGGGGTACGGGATGAACTTGATGACATGCATGGTTTGGTTCATGATGCAATGGGAATTCCTGAACAAGATTATACAAGGATAGATGGAACTGAATACAAAAGCCAATTGCCCAATGTAGAAGCTGAAAAGTTTTACAATCTAATTGATAATTCTAACAAAGAGCTTTACTCTGGATGTAAAAGATTCTCAAAACTTTCCTTTATGATTCGGCTGCTTCACCTCAAATGCCTTGGTAAACTCAGCAACAAAATTTTTGATATGTTACTTGATTTGTTGAAAGAAGCCTTTCCAGATGCGATGGATGGTTTGCCTAAGTCTTATTATGAAGCTGAAAAGTTAATGAAGGAATTAGGACTTGGGTATGATAAATATGATGCATGTCCGAATGACTGCACTTTGTATTGGGGGGTAGATGCAAGAAGAAAGCATTGTGAAACATGTAAAGAATCTAGATGGGTTAAATCTGAAAATGATCCGACTGGTGAGGGAAGAAAAATACCGCATAAGGTTTTATGGCATTTTCCCCTAAAACATAGGTTACAACGCCTATTTATGTCCTCCAAAATTGCAGGCCATATGAGATGGCATGCAGAAGGTCGTACTAAGGATGGTAACATGAGGCACCCTGCTGATTCTCCATCTTGGCAAACATTTGACTTTCATCATCCAGAATTTTCTCAAGATTCTCGTAATGTGAGGTTGGGCCTAGCATCAGATGGATTTAACCCATTCAAAAATATGAGTTCAACTCATAGCACTTGGCCGGTAATATTGATGCCATATAATTTGCCGCCATGGATGTGTATGAAACAACCGAACTTTATGTTGTCATTGTTGATACCCGGTCCATTTGCACCAGGAAATAATATTGATATATATTTAAAACCTCTCATAGCAGAATTAAAGGAATTGTGGGATGTTGGAGTGAATACATATGATGCATCAAGAAAAGAAAACTTTCAACTTCGTGCAGCACTTTTATGGACCATCAGTGACTTTCCAGGTTATGCAATCCTCTCCGGATGGAGCACTAAAGGAAAACTTGCATGTCCTGTATGCCATAAATACACATCTTCACAGCATCTGCAAAATTGGGGAAAATATTGCTATATGGGGCATCGAAGGTACTTGGAAATGAACCATCCATTTCGCAAAGATGCTAAATCTTTCAATGGAGCTGTAGAGTATGGAAAACCACCAGGAAGGTTAATGGGGTCTACAATTTTAGATGAGTTAGCTGGTTATAGTATTAAACTTGGGAAGACAGTTAGTGACAATCCAGAATTGCCATTTAATTGGAAAAAATTAAGTATTTTCTTTGATTTGCCCTATTGGAAAGACAATATGATACGTCATAATCTTGACGTTATGCACATTGAGAAGAACATCTGTGAGATCATTGTGGCTACATTGTTGAATCTGGAAAAAACCAAAGATAATAAAAAGTCACGTCTTGACCTTCGTGATATGGGTATAAGATCAGAATTGCATCCCATTGAGAAGGGAAATGGTAGGAGTGTTCTGCCTCCAGCTTGCTTTACAATGAAAAAGAAGGAAAAGGAGATATTTTGCAAAGTTTTGAAAGGGATAAAAGTTCCAGATGGCTACGCAGCAAATATTTCTAGATGTGTTAAAGTAAAGCCACCAAAAATTTCTGGATTAAAAAGTCATGATTACCATATTTTGATGCAACAACTTCTCCCAATAGCTCTGCGCAGGACTTTATCAAAAGCAGTTCGCTCTCCTTTGATCAAATTGAGCAGGTATTTTCGCAAGTTGTGCTCCAAAGTTTTGGATCCAGCAGATTTAGTTCATTTGGAAAAAGAGATTGGTATCATACTTTGTCAATTAGAAAGGATTTTTCCACCATCCTTTTTTAATGTGATGGTACATCTAGCTGTTCATTTGGTTAGCGAAGCAAAAATAGGAGGGCCTGTCCATTATCGGTGGATGTATCCTATAGAAAGGTACTCATGAAATATTTAAGTGAAGTATTTTGAAAATTTTAGACATTTTTTATCATTAACTTCATCTCAATATTCTAAACCTGAATTAAAACTTGCCTTGTCAAGGTATTTAGGAACTTTGAAATCCTACGTCCGAAATAGAAGTCGACCAGAAGGCTGTATTGCTGAAGGGTATTTAGCTGAGGAATGTTTGAATTTTTGTTCCTTATACCTAGCTGATTATGTTGAAACGAAGTTTAATCGGACAAGTAGAAATGATGATGTGGGCAACACCTCAAGTGAAGGCTTCGATGTATTTTCCAGTTCATGTCGTCCATTAGGAAAAGGAACTCCAACAAATTTCAGCAATGAAATTTTGAGAAAAGCACATCAATATGTGCTATTTAATTGCGACCACATCAAGCCATATGTTGAGTAAGTAAATTCCTTTCAATTCAAAAAATTATATATGTTAAATACTTAGTGAGTTTCTATATGCAGCCAACACCATAAAATGGTGGAGGAGCAAAATCCATGTGCTGGAAAACATGTCATTGAGCGTATTCATTGTGAGAACTTTGCAGATTGGTTTTCGGACCATGTAAGCTCAACAATCTTACACTATTATCTTTTTTTTTATGCATAAAAGAAGAAATTTGTCATTGTTACATTTTGTATATAATAGGTTAAGCAGATTCAAGTGGCTGATGGTGTTGACATCTCCAAAGATTTGAAACTTCTGGCTAGGGGTCCAAATAATGTGGGGAGAACATATCAAAAGATTCTTGTCAATGGCTTTCGCTTCCATACAAGACAATTAGAATCTCAGAGGAAAACTCAGAATAGTGGGGTTCTTGTCAATGCAACAACATCAAGCTTTTCGAGTACTAAAGATAATAATCCAATTTTAAGTGACTTGGCTTACTATGGTATTTTGACGAATATCCTTGAGTTAAATTACACTGAAGGCCGAACTGTCACCTTATTTGAATGTGATTGGATATCAAAAGGCAAAAGATTAAAGCAAGATGAGGATGGATTCACATTGGCCAACTTCAAGAATGTAAAGCCTCACCCTGAGCCATATGTGATAGCAACCCAAGTTTCACAAGTTTTTTATGTTGAAGACCCTTTAGCTGAAGGCTGGAGTGTTGTTGTTGCTACATCTCCTAGGAATGAGTTTATGATGGACCCCGTATGTGATATTGAGATGTATTTGCAGAGCACAATTACCTCAACAACTCAAATGGACAATGAGAATGAAGACATTCGATGGGTTCGAGAAGATGATGGAGATGAAATACTCCACTAGCCTGAATTGTTGAAATGTTTGGTTTTTGCTATTAAAACTGTAAAAGTTGTAACTATAAACGTGGTTGCAATTTCACATGCATTTTTTTGTAGATGCAAATTCAGATTAACCTTGTTGTGTCTTTGCATTTGTCTATTTTAAAATTTCTGTTTTAACTTACTTACTTGCACTTTAAAATTGATTTGTTAGTAGATGAAAATTTTCAGTCTAGTTGTAGCCTTTCTATTATCATATTCGTTTGAGATTTTGCTATCCTTTTTGTATTTGTGTTCTTTTATTTGTTAAATGTTTTTATTTGTAGGAATGGCAAGGACTAAAAGACAGAAGATTACTGGAAATACACTTGTTGATCAACACGAGGATATAGCTGAAAATCAGATTCACATTGAGGAGCCTAACTCTACAGGTACATCTCTAATAAGTCATGCCCAGTTCTGATTTTCATTCTTGAGATTCAGTTTCAAAACTTTTAGTTCTACTAGTTTCTTTTGGTAATGAAATTCACCGGTGTCATATTTCATGGTTATAGATGAAGAAAATGCAGATGAAAATTCACAAAGAAAAACTAGAGGGCCAACATATATGACAGAAATATGGGGTAAACCTAGTAGTTGTCATCGGTACAAAGTTAGATTTGATAAGGATGGTGAGCCTGTTGGCAAGAACAAGTCCAAATTTACTGAGTTCTTAGGAACAATAGCAAGAAATGGAAAGTATGCTCCTCTAGACGTGACAGATTGGCGTGAAATGACAAATGATAAGAAGCAAGACATGCTTGTATTGGTGAAGGTAATGCACATTTTGCTTGATGCAAATATACAGCTGTACCCTTTATATGACAAAAATATGGATCTAACTATTTGAGGTGTTATTGTAGGAAAAATTTCGTCTTCCTCCAGGTGCAGATTTTTGGACTTTGAAATCAATCGGCAAAAAATGGAGAAATTGGAAATCAGCTTTAAAGGCAAAATATTACAATCCAAATGAATCCATTGAGAGTCAAATTAACAATAGGGATCAGCGGATCTTGAAAGATCAGTGGAGAAATCTTCTGGCTTACTGGAGCTTAGAGGAAACAAAGGTATAACTGTTTTAACTATTAAATATCAACCATTATGTTGAGATTATAAGTTTTCACTATTTTTCTATAATTTCAGAATACCAGCGAGAAGAATAAGATGAGTCGGGCTAAGAAAACAATGAATCATAAGACAGGGAAGAAATCGTATGCTCAAATTCGAAAGAAATTGGTAAATCTTTTAAACCTTTTAGTTTCATTTAGTTTTTTCTTGTATCACCTAGTGGTCTTATGAAGACTTCATTTTCTATAGATGAAAAAATTAGGTCATCTCCCATCACGAGTTGATATGTTCGAACACTGTTATACTGACTCAAACGGAAACCCGGGAAATGATGACGTTGCAGCTACATTAGTAAGTTATTAATTGGTTGATGAAATTAGTACTCTAAATGACTTAAATTGTCTACTAACTTAGGACTGATTTTATCTTCATTAATGTAAGATAATCGACTTTAGTAATATTGAATTTTTTCTGGATTTTAAATACAGCAAGCTTTGAAGGAAAAAGTTAGCCAACTTCCCCCTGGTTCTAATGATGATGTTGGTCGTAATGATGCATTTGCCCAAGTATTTGGGGAAGATAACAATGGGCGTGTGCGCATGTATGGTCTAGGTGTGACACCATCAGACAAATGGGGTAACGTACCTAGTCGCAGCACTTGTCAGCGTATCGTTATGGAGCAAAAGGCAGCAATTTCTAAGATGGAAGATAAATTTGCTGAGCAATATCAGCAGCTGAAAGACCAAGCCAAAGAACTTGCAGAGCTCAAAGCAATGGTGTGTCAGCAGCAAAATAGTGGCTCAAAAACTGGTGGCTCGATAAATTCAACGTCCTCTAATCATGTTTCAAAATCTCCTATGGGTGCTCGTTCTCTTCAGGTATATTCATGATTATTTTTCAAGAATTTATTGTGATTATACCATATGAGGATACTCACTTTTGTTGTTTGAAACTTGTTGATTCATTAAACTGCTATTTTGTTTGGTTATACTGAATAGTAAAACTTGGTAATTTCAACTTAGTAAAGTCATGGTTATTAAGTTTTATTGCTGAAAATTGGAGAAATGCTCAAAATGCAGGGGAAACTCTACCAAATTTTTAAAAAAAAATAAATCTACCTAATTCAATTCTATGACTTCAAATTATCTTGTAGGAAGGTGATTGGGTGGATATTTTCAGCTTGTTTGATCCAACAAAATGTCTAGCTATTAGTCGTCTCCAAGGAATTGATCCTTCTAAAGTTGTTGGTGGACAACCATTGGGACCATGTTGGTGTGAAATACTAGTACAAATCGTGATGGAACGCAATGAACAATTGATTAGGCCTTATGGGCTATTGCAAACAATTGAAGATGCACTTGGTGCACCGATTGCTTGGCCACTGAAATTGGTATAATTTGACACAAGATTGTTCAAGTTTTTTCTTTACAAATTTAAGTTGATGGATAATGAAGTGGTGTTCTTACTTAATCTACTAATTTATAGGTGAAGATTCATAAGGATTGACAGTAACCTTTTGTTTGGAGAAGCAAGAGTTGGACAGCAGCCTTTTGTTAGAGAAGCAAGAGTTGGACAGCAGCCTTTTGTTTAGAGAAGCAATACTAGTTTTTGAGTTCAAATTTGTGGAATATTTTGTGTTCTTGAGAATGTTGCTGATTCTATTGCAAGAGTTGGATGACAGCCTTTTGTTAAAGAAGTATTAATGCTAGTTTTGGAATTAACTTCAAATTTGTGGAACTTTTGCTTTATTTAGGATGTCACCAGTTTTTTACTTTCAAGCAGATTTATATTCTTTGGCATAGTGGCTGTCTTACAATTGCATATTATGTGTTTGGCGTATTGTATTAGGAGATTAGAGTAGAAAATTTAGATGAAAATTGCACAAAAAAAGACATCTATTGAGGCACTTGCCAATGCCTACATTGAAAACTAATGCACCTAGTAAAACCACATATCGTGACACTTTTTGAGTGTTTGGAGATTCCTTTTTACAATGGTAGAAAATGCCTTGAAAGACAGGTAAACACTACACTATAAACTGCCTCCATTAATGTATATAATGCACTTCATTGTGCCTAAACAATTACTTTTGGCAACATGTAAAAGTGTCCTAAAAAGAGCAAAAATGATACCAAGTAAATGCCTTTATAGGGCATCTTTAGAGGCATTGGTGTGTGCCTATTTGCAATTTCTATCATGGCAATTGTGAATGCATCAAATTCATTAAACATGACGTTAAGAAACGCCTCCAACCTTTTCCAAACGGGTAGTTTAGTAGACATTTGATGTGTGCCCTCAATAGTCTAAGTGCCTCTAAAAGTTTCTATTGCATCATTTTTGTTGCGCCTCCAAATATAATTTTTCTTGTAGTGTTATTTCCACTAATTTAAGTACTAAACCAACATTAATAATATCAAAACTCATGAAATCAGTCCTCAAGTCATTGTGGGAGTTCATAGAGCCCACACACAAAATCCAACATAAATAAAGCTACCCATGTAAATATACAAGCTTATAAGTGCAATACTACTTCCATAAACTAAGATTCAAGGGGTTGATCGTCATTACCTCCTTAGATGATCTGTGAGGACTCGTAAAAACTATTATTTTATGCTTAATTTATGGCTTAATAAATTATTTAATTGGATTTTATTTCCAAGGAATATTTTCTAGTCTTATTAGACCTAAATACATGGTAATATAACTTCGTTATATTTTTAAAATGATTCGTTTCGAAAATTAATTTCCCGGAGCGCGTTTAGTAAAAATAGTGAATAGTACTTGGAGATTTTATCCGCGTAGTAGCACAATAAGTTTGGAATATTGGAGACTTGTACTAAGGTCCTAAAATAGGTAATCTTATGAATAAAAAACTCAAGTGATAGTTAATAGTGCAATCGTTATAAGAATTTCTCGGAAGTTTCGCGTTATAACGTTAAATTTGACGGTACGTGTTTTTCACACGTGCGACTTCATTTGAGGGACTTTAGACCCTTATTTCGGGACAATTAAGAGTGAAGAATATTTACATGAATATATATGCATTAGAGGTTTAGTGCACTAGTGAACCAACGCGCGAGAAAATCGAGCCCGAAACGTGCCAAACGAGCCCTAATGAGAGTTGACTAATGGGTGATTTGTGGCCACAAGTTAGTATCTTCCCTTGGAAGCTTAAGAAAAGTCTGATCACTCTCTCTCTCTTCTCTCAAGACAGCCGGCCAACACCCTCCTCTCTCTAACTCCATTACTTCAAATTTTCAGCTCACAAATCTCACTCAAAACCACCCCAAATCATCTTCAAATTCAACCAAACTTGCACCACACTTAGCTTGATACTTGAGGAGCCTTTTGAGCTGCAAACAAGGGCTGGAAATCACGGTTTTTCTGGAGCAATAGAGGGCCGAAAATTCTGCTTGAACACCCAACCAAAGTAAGTGATGATCCACTCTTGAAAACTTGAAGTTTGGAAGCTATCTTACCTTGTTAAGTTCATGCATGCATTTGGTTAGCTTGTGTATGGTGTAAAAATGTGATTGTGGGCTCTTTGAATTCCCACACTTGGGTTGTTGTTGCTGATTTGATGATTGATGGTGGTTATATTGTTGGTTTAGTGGTTAAAATGATGCATTAGTGGTGGGTAATTAGTAGAAACTTCATTGGGTGTAAGAAGCAAAACTTCCGATTTTGCCCCTGCCATATTCGGCCATTTTGAGGCCAATTTTTAATGGTCTAACGGCTTGAATTGGATGTTTATAGGATGTATTAGATGTGTGAAAAATTTCATTGGAAAATATTGAGGTTTGATTGAGCTAATGAATTTGTTTTAAGAAACTAGCAAATCTGGAAAACTGTTCGCGTATGACTCTGACCAGTGGTAGTAATTCGGCTATAACTCTGTCCTCGGATGTCAAAATCACG